CCGACAAGAGTCGCAAAGAGCTCAGGAGTAAACTGTGTGCTAGCCAGAAGAGAGACCACGAAGTCTGGTGGTCTCATCGTGCCTCGGAGATGGAAACAAACGCTGCAATTGGTAGCGAACTTAAGTTAGTGCATTTGATAAGGGAAATGGGCAACAGGAGACGTGTGCCGGTTGCTTGAGCTGAACAGCTTCCGTACTAACGGGATAACAGCGCCCGACAGGGTAAACATTGCATAATTTAGACATCGGAAGTTTTTAACAGAATAACCTGTCAGATCAGCTGACGGCTTGATGTTCTGAGATAGACAAACTACGGAAGCGACTGAGTGGTCTTCAAGATTTAGGCCAAACACGGAGGCTGAGAGATCAGCTAATGGGCAAATGCAGTGCATACGACGCTGCGATGCAGTTGGCGTTGCAAGATGAAACAAAAACGCTGTCACTGAATCCACCCTGATGGTATGACTGTAAGCTAAGGTATTTGGCCAGCTGTTGTACCGGTACCGCGTAAGTTTTCGCTGTTCATGGGGACCACATGCCTGCCAAAAGTTTGCTCCAGTGTGCTCGGTTTCAAGTACTCATGGCACTAGAAATAAGCACTACAGGAGAAGCAACAAATGGTAGAACAGTCTGCTATAAAGACTAATCGCAACAATGGCATTGACTTCACGGCTGTGCCTTAGAGTAAAGCGAGCTCCTAACCCCCCAATTAAGAACACAATAAGCATCGGCCCAATGGTTTCCCAGTCAAACAATTTCTGCCTCCCTGCTATGTAAGCAACTAGCCACCAAAGTAGCTCAACTAGTAGGAAACAGGTGTGGGGGCGACACATTGTGATGGATGGCTGATATAGATGTGGGGAATGTGATCCATTCAACTCCGACGGCTCACGTTGAGTGGTAGGTAGAAATTCACTTCAGATGAACTGTGACCAAGTACTAGCTAACGGGGCATTAGCAACACCGAGCCAGTGGCCCCGATATACGTGAGCAATGCATGGCAGACGGCAGTGATCAACCAATGGTGGTTTTCGGTATATCCGAAACGCAACGCCTATAGCTATGGAACGCGCAACAATTCTAGTCGTAATGCAACGTGATGCACGCCACTTCTAACGGATGAACTGGCGCGCCGCATCCCCTAAAGCCAACTGACGCATTGGAAAGTCGCGTGAGTCTCACTAATACCGCTCGGCACTTCGAGCACCAGAGTTAGTAGGATAGCCAAACAGCAAACACGAACAGCTAATCAGCGATCATGAGCGATGATAATCAAACAGCCGATAAGACAAAAATGATCTCGATGGTACTTGTACAAGAGCTGGATTCGACCTCATAGAGTTAGAGAGTATGAAAATTCATTCCAGATGATGAAACCAAGATAGTCACTTGAAGAGATGAAATATGACAGTCATTATACACTCTCGTTAGTCGAAAAAAAACACTGGATAGGGTGAGATTATACAATAGTTAAAAGCTTGTTGGATGGAGATCTGAAGATTGAGTGATGGAGCGAGTCTACCCAAATCAGGGTGCGAGATGAGCAGCATGAATGCAAGAAGTAGCCTAGATGAACGAAATAGAAGAGTTCGGGGCGTCATTTCTCAGTGTTTACTTCTGATCACCTGTTCTTCGATCCTGTGTTTCCACTGGGGCAAATCCGCCTTCATCGGAATATTTTCGTCCTTTTTTCGATTTGCTTCTGTCATTCCCAAAGATTGTCAGCATTTACTCCTTCTCGGATGTTGGTTGCGGCATTCGGATCCAGTCGGATCCCTGCGTGAGAGACTTGTGAGCACCTACCGACGTGACGATGGTTTGTGTGAGCTACTGTGGTGCTCCATACGCCTCAGGCGCGGAGAACTGCTTGTGGGCGCAGTTTATCGTAGCCCCCTGAGCCGTTGTTTGGATTGGCTGCCCATTCTTCGGACCCACATGAGTCGTCCACACTTTCTACTTATGGGAGATTTTAACTGTCCTCGAATACGATGGCCTGATGTGCATTTGATGCCTGGACATAGTGAGGTTGAAGAAAAGTCCGTGGATTTGATACTTGGAACCGGTGCATCGCAACACATATGCCAGCCAACACGTATAACGACACGTTCAACCCCGTGCTGTCTCGACCTGATGTTAACGAGCTACGAACAACGTGTGCGTGACGTTAGGATCCTGGAGTCCCTGTCTACGAGCGACCACTCAGTACTGATAGCTGATATAGAATTATCTTTGCAGTATTCACATCCGCTGCAACCAGCTCCCAACTACTGGAAAACGGATTTCGATGGTCTAGCTCGAGCCGCGAGCCAAATGGATTGGTCTCTGTCACAAGCTGCATCTGTGGAAGATTGTTGGATCTTTATAAGAGAGGGATTGACATCATTGTGTTCCCAATTTGTGCCATTGGAATGTCGGAAGGTTGGACCGATCAAGCCTCATTGATTTGACAAGGAGTATGGAAACCTGGCTCGGAGGCGGCGCAGACTGTGGGACCAATTCCTCCTCTCTGGCTCTGCCAATGATTATGAAGGGTATAAATGTCAGCGGAATCTCTGCAACAGTGCAAAAAAGAATAAACGCCGACATTTCGAAGAGCAGCTCACATTAGCCGCGAAGACCGTCCCTAAGAGAATCTTTGCATACGTGAAGCGACGCCTGAAGCCGGCAGGTGATATGCCAGTGCTAGATGGCACGGATGGACAGTCCCTAACCTAAAGCACTGAGCGTGCCTCCGCGTTGGTGGCGCACTTCGCTTCTGTATTTGCGAATAACCAGGTGTCTGTTCCGAGTTAGACATGTACCGCTTTTACCGAACTCGATAGTCTGCATTGCGGCGTTGAAGAGGTAGGTCAACTACTCGCCAACCTTGACGGCACCATGCCTGCCGAACCTGATGGGCTTCACCCACTGGTTCTCAAGTCACTTTCAACCATCCTCTATCCTGTCGTGACTGACCTTTTCAACAGATCGCTGTCCGTAGGTTTGTTGCCGGTTGACTGGAAATGTTCGGTGGTGAAGCCTATCCCGAAAGGCGGCAACCCAAGCAAAGTAGACAATTACAGGCCAATTCGTCTGACACCTATTTTGGCATTGGTTGCTGAGAAAATCGTGAAGAAGGGGTTGCTGCAGTTGCTACAGTCAAACGAGGTCCTGACGGCCGCACAGCACGGTTTTATGCAAGGTCGCTCATGCATTACGAACCTGCTTGTGACGAGGCATGAGTAGTTGAAGGCAACAAGCAAGGGGAAGTCCGTCGAGGTGATATTCATCGATTTCAGTAAAGAGTTCCACAAGGTCAGTCATGAGGTTCTCCTTCATAAACTCAGAATGTGTGGTGTCGGTGGCTCACTGCACCGGTGGATCCGCGACTTTCTTGTTGGACGAAAGTGGAGGGTACAGGTCGACGACCATCTAACTGACTGGTACCCCTCTACAAGTGGCGTGCCTCAAGCACTGTGCTGGGGTCCTCTCTGTTCCTGATCCACATCAACGATCTACCGCAGCTTCTCCGGTCGCCGTGTGCCTTGTTTGCGGATGACATGAAGATTTGGAGAGAAATCGACGCTTCCGATGACTGTGGCCTACTTCAGCAAGACCTAAACCGCCTGTCTATATGGTCTGCAGAAGTTCTTCTCCCGGTCAACCCAACCAAGTCTGTATTTATGAGCCTGGGGAAGGGAGCTGACGGCCGAACCTACAACCTTGACGTCAAACGCTATATCCCACACCCTCCCTGAAAGACCTAGGTGTATTCTCACGCTACGATTTGAAGTCCGTGGACAATACGAACAGGCTATATCGTAATGGACTGCGCATGCTTTGGATGCTCAAACATAGCTTCGCCACATGGTCTGAAGAAGTTGCCACTCGCCTCTTCTCTTCTATCATTAGACCAATGCTAGAGTACTGTTCGCCCGCCTACTTTCCGATTACCGGAGGCGAAGCACAAAAGAACGAACGGGTCCAATACGTTGCTACCAGGCTGATCCCGAGTTTACGTGGCTTTGGGTATGAAGACCGGTGCGAGAAACTAGGACTCTACACCTTGTTCTACCGTCGGATGCGAGTCGACCTCATTATGACCTATAGTATTCTACATCTCGGTGACTTCCCAATGCTAAGGCCAATGCTGCACTTACGAGGGCTATGCAGCACACGCGGACACAGATACAAACTTGTCGTGCCGGATGTGAAATGTGTTCCCCACCCACTGTGCTTCGAACGGAGAGTGGTAAACATTTGGAATAGTTCAAAACGTTGTTAGATTTGTATTTTGTCACTATTCGATTCGAACTTACGATGACATATCACATTTGTGAATCCTGAAATATCGCAAGTCAGATATTTCAAATGTTACATTAGAACGACAACGATATTCACGGCTGACAAGTTTTATAATGTTTTTCACCATATTTCGAAAGAGTTGTACAGAATTAATTTCTATTTGCTCTATAATACAGTACTCAGCTCACTAATCGAGCAATTGAAAAACTGAACGTAATGGGGATAGTTACACACGAATAATCCACTCAAAGGAATTACTGCCTCCGGCATTATTGCCGATGGCTCAGGTACCACGCCGAAAGTGTTGTACTTCTCGCGGTCCGACACGCCAAATGTGTTTGCCAGATAGTAAGTGGAAAGACTGCTACATGGTGTATGAATGAAACGAAATCAGCTGAAAATTTAGCGGACCATAGGGTGACTCGAGAGTTTGATTGCAAAGCAAAGGGCATTAGCTAACTGTGAGCAGGCAGACGGGGAAATATTATTTAAAAGTGAATTGTGTGATGACAAAGTTTATATAAAGTTGTTGAACAATTGGTTAGTCATCAAGAATCTATGACCCATATGGTCCATAGTCACCTGAGTTAACTGGAAGACTTCATGGCAAGTGGCAATGTCCGGTCTCATCAATAGATGCAGGTAGGAAAAGATAGCGATTAAAGTCCCTAATTGAAAAATCTAGACTGGCAGTTTCCCTTCGGGAGTCGACTCACTGAAGTTCGTCCGAGGGCTTCATTGAAGTAGTGAACCCAACGGATAATTTCTAGGCTGACGCTGTTGAGGAACCAACAAGGGGGCCAAGTATCAAAGCATACCGCATGCAATTGATTGCTCTCCCGCATGGTAACGTCGGCGAAGAGGGGAAAGCTTTTAGTGCGAAAGGCAGTTAAAAGATCTTTCTCGGCTTCAATTGCACTTTCTCGACGACCGCGCTGATAAAGCTTGCTAGTGAGCACTGTACGCTCCATCGCACAAGTAGAGCTTATGGATTTCGGTTGATCATTGGTCTAAAAGAAGTCGGTTACTAGTTAGTTCAATGGGAATGACGGACCAAATATCAATCCCAGCGCTTACCAAGCATACCAAGACCTTCAAAGTTGGCCAATAAGATGCAGGATAGAGGGAAACAACGGAGGAGATGGGAGTCCCTGCGGCTCCCATAGAAACAGACCAATGAACAAAACCACCATATGTACTGCGGCAAGCGGAACCAGATCCACGACGTGCAATTCCGGCAATGTCTTCCCGAAGACCGTACATTTGAGCCAACCCGAATGCTACAATCACCAGAGAAGTTTCAGCAACTAGAATATAGCGTACCCAAGGAAGCCAATCCCGATGCACTTGAAGCCAGTCCTGCCGCCGTAGGAAAGCCGTTAGTTGACTCGATGCGCACATATGGATGAACAGAGCGATTTAATAAACGAGCCCTCAATTGTGCTGAAACAGAATAAGGTGAAAAAGCAGGCTACCTATGATGATGACATCCAATATGCGACCGGGAATTTCATGTTGGAATCTGGAAAGAAAAAAAATACGTATGAAGTATGAAGTAATCCGAGAACGCACTTTCCGTTGAGTTTCAAACTGCACGCTGTCATGCTTGAATCACTGATAATCCGGGTGGTAGTGTTAAGCTAACAATGAAATTTATCGGGAAAATGCAATGTGCACACACTTGTCGCTGGCAGAGAGTGACACTCACGGAGTTGTTGGTGGGATGCATGTTCAGGTGATCACACTTGCCCCCTTAGAGGACTGAGTTAATAGTACAAATGAGATAATACAATATTTGACGAGGGCTATATTTACGGGAGCAGTGACGATTACCTCCATTTTGAAAAGGGCTGCAAAGAATAACAAAGTAAAGTAAACAAAGCAACGTGAAGCAGCCGATTAGACAACATGTGAAAGTGCGATCGAGAGAAAAGCACGTCTAATAGTGTGAAAAAGTGTGATTCCCGACATTGGAGTGGTTAAACTGCAATAAGTCGATATGTTGATGTTCGAAGTGAAATTTAGAGCAAATTGAAGCACACAACCGCTTTACAGCATAGATGCAGAATTTTCAGGGTTCGATTTACTCGAAGACGATGGTAACTCCCACTGGAAGGAGTGTAGTAGTCTGAAGCAGGACACAGCAAAGAACGCTGCAGTTAACAGTAATTTTTGGACGTAACACCCTTCGTCAAAATAGCGACCGGGTTAATCAGTTGCAAACTGTGAACCGAACCCCAGGGCGGTCTGGAGCCACCTAACCGCAATAAAAGTTGGTGATAAAAAAAACGAAAATTATACTTAAAAGCGGCTAAACTACAATTAGCCTGAGCTGCCAGAACGCTATCGACTGAGTGTAAGTGCAGATTGTGATTCTGGCCAATTGTGCAAGCCAGCCGATAGCCCATGTCTAAAAGCAAAGCATGCAAAAATAATCAATGTTTAGTTAGTTCCCTGTACGCACTCGTGCTATAAACGCGTTGAAGCGACAATGAGCACTTTAAACTGAGAAGAACAACGGAACGAAATGTCGCCTTCAAGACAGGAGTAGTGGCCAGTGCAAATCTTCAAATGCAGAAAACTGACGGTGAGACGAGGCGTAGTTCTTAGACCTAATGAAATGGCAGTGAGCAAATAGTCTTATACAAACGGACTAGTAGTGGACGGTTAGATGAAGCCAAAGGACAACGACACTCCGTACTGACGCCTCGCTGTCATGCGCCCGTCAACAGTCGCGTGCGAGCTAGGTGTACCGCAAGATCAACAAAGCTTATGCAGGTGATAACCGGCGACATGTGGGCGACCATTTAGACGCCCGAACAACTCAGCCAACGGATAGCAGATGAAGTCAAAAGCAGCTGTGAATATACTAGCTACGCAATATGTACACTGCGAGGTCGGGCGCGAACTAAGGAGAGAAAAGTAAGATGCTGACTATACCGAAGATATGCATGGTAGTTCTCCCACGTGTGCGCAATAGGAAAAAGTGCGTCAGTCTACACCGCAAGACTAGAAACGCGCTTACTGATTTTAAACAATGCGCTCGACAAGGTTCAGTGCACAATTCGAAACCCCTCCGAGAAGCAACTAAACATGCTTTTGTTAGATACATGGGCTCGAGGGAGTTCGCAATTAATAAATACGAGTAGCACATGAAATGTAAACTAACGACTGATGCGTCCTCATTCAAGTCAAAAACTTGGCTTTCATTCATTACAACTCTTCCACGGAGCCGCCGTACTGCGTGGAGCAGTCTTACGAAAGTAATAGCAAAGTATGGGCAGTGATGAAAACCATCGTGCACGAACCCGAGGACTACCTATTGGCAATCACCCACCGTCGCATCTCATACCGTCCGAATTAAATTATTCGTGCGTACCGTTAGTTCGCTGCAATCCGTCCAATCTATGCCTGCCACGCTCAGGGCCGTGTTGAGTTTTGTCGATACAAAGCCGCGTTAATAGTGTCGTCCATCTGGCCCGTGCAATCTTGTTCAGCTAGCGTTGGCAGCATTTAACTCCCGTTTCGTCCACTTTGTTGGAGTCGACTTCGTTAGTCTACGTCAGAATCTTGCGGACTGACCACTTCGTGAACTGACGCAGATGAGGACATTCTACATCTGCATGCGTGTTTTATGAATTCGACTCTTTATATATTTATCTAGCACATCTCCCTTTCTTCATCCGAGTACCGGAAAATTCTGACGAGGAAAGTGACAGTCTGACAATCCACAAACGAAAATGAATACTGAGTATTGTGGCAACAAGTTGAAAGTGTGAATCTGTCCAACTTTATCGAAATATGATCAAAAACGTTAAAAATGCAAAGTTGGCAATACCGTGACCGTTTTTCATGCTCTCACTTATAACACAAAGAAAAGTGGGACCCATATATATATATATATATATATGTCAAAAAAGGACGTCCATCATCTAAATTCCAAAAAAGTGGATGTAGCTGCAAACCACTCCAACTTGACTACCACAATTCCGACTGAAAAGGCAGACCGAATTATAGCCCTTGAGGAAGTAGCCACGCTGAAATGCAAACTTTATGAATTCAGCACATATTACGAACAAGTCCTATCAATCTGCTAAATGCTTAGAGGTTCAGCAACTGTTAAACTAGACCGATTGAGCACAGCTGCTTCTTTACTAGACTCAATCGGAGCGTCCTATCCCCACTTGGGAATAATGTTCTTTCGGCAGTGTGATCCCGGTACACACGGTTCATTCATTGGATCATTGGAATGTAGAGAGCGGAAGGAAAAATCCTTTGTCAGCTCCATCGCCTCCCATTCGTCGCAGGGATCAAGGTGGACATTGCAAGTCGGTACCAATGGAACCGCTGCATTGACCCGAGAAGCAACAATATCCGAGTTTACTCAACAGGTACGAATCCAACTGGTATTTGAAACATTCCTCCGACTGCGCATCAACGACATACACAGGTAGATTATTCCATTCGTTCACTACTGTGGTAGACAGAGTGACGTCACAACGGACCCGAAGTCTCCTTTGTTTAAACAATTTCCAATGATGACCCCGAGTCGAACTGAAAGAATTGAGTGGAAAGAAATTCTGCAATTCAACTCCAAGTTCCCCTCTAACGATACGCCGTGTGAAAATCAAATCCCCGCGATCTCGACGGTAGGCTAGGGAGAATAAGTTCAGGCACTGGAGACGATGCGAGTAAGGCAGGTTTCGTAACTCCAGAACGGATTTAGATCCTCTACGCTGAACTTCTTCAAGCAAGTTGTATTCAAATTTGGAAAGAGGATTGGAACATTGGAACATTGGAATGTAGAGAGCAGAAGGAAAAATCCTTTGTCAGCTCCATCGCCTCCCGTTCGTCACAGGGATCAAGGTGGACATTGCAAGTCGGTACCAATGGAACCGCTGCATTGACACAAGAAGCAACAAGATCCAAGTTTACTCAACAGGTAAGAATCCAATTGATGTTTGAAACATTCCTCCGATTGCGCATCAACGACACACACAGGTAGATTATTCCATTCGTTCACTACTCTGGTAGACAGAGTGACATCACAACGGACCCGAAGTCTCCTTTGTTTAAACAAGTTCCAATGGTGACCCCGAGTCGAACTGAAAGAATTGAGTGGAAAGAAATTCTGCAATTCAACTCCAAGTTCCCCTCTAACGATACGCCGTGTGAAAATCAAATCCCCGCGATCTCGACGGTAGGCTAGGGAGAACAAGTTCAGGCACTGGAGACGATGCGAGTAAGGCAGGTTTCGTAATTCCAGAACGGATTTAGATCCTCTCCGCTGGACTTTTTCAATCAAGTTGCAGAGAGCAGTCCAAACTCAAGAATCGGACGTACATGATAAGTGAACAAGAGCCTGAAGATCTCCGGAGTCAAGGGAGAGAAGGATCGTCGTATGGCGAAAAACAACCTGTTGGCAGAAGCGACTTTCCTCAAGGTATATTCAGTCGATTTTAAGTTGTAGGTGGTGGGAGGTAAACTTCGGGCCATTGAACCCATAGTAATGTTTATTAATAATGTAGGATGATTGTTGGAATGCTAAGACCTCAATTAGTAATGAAGATACTATGGGGTTTAAATGTGTTACGATGGTTATTCATTTTCCCGCTTCACGCGTAGCAGCCATGGTGGATGACTCGCTTGTATTCCGACGTATGCTTAAGGGTCCTTATCTGGACTTCGCATCGGTGAAGAAGGATCTGAAAGTGTTTCAGATTGAAACGGCGACATCGTTTGTTCGTCGGAACGTTGTAACTGCGAAGGCGTACCAGAGGGAGACCGGACAGGTGCTACAGGAAGGATGCCCATACCGGTATATTTTGTTTGTGTGTGCATGGAAAGCGCATCAATGTTACTGGAAAGTGGTAAGTGCATGGTGTTTGCATGATGAGAAGAATGCTATAAGTACCGCTGTTACGATTGCCCTGCTCGTTTTTCTGTGACGTCTAAGGGCGAATGTTACGAAATTGGGAATGCGTTTCTGTGGCATTCGCACAGTTTTCACGCTGGGAAGCCCTGGCTGTATGTGAGAAATCGGAGGCTAACGGAAGATCAGGTACGCATGGTGCTGAACTTAATGAAAACCTTTCGTCGGAGCCAAGAGATGCGTGCATTTGTGCGGCAGCAATATAAGATTCGTTTAACAAGGCGGGATTTGTATGCCATACGGCGGCGTCATCGTAACGCTTGTGTCACCGAGGTGGAGGGGGTGACACAGCTGTTGCAAAGAAATGGTCAGGTTAAAATTATGCATGAGGGGAATGAGATACGGTACCTGTTTTTCGTGCCCTCGCACATGCTGGATTTGGTGGGCCAATACGGGGAGGTAATTTTGGCGGACTCCACATATCAAATCAATTACGGCAGCTACATCCTATGGCACTGCATGTTTGTGGACGTTAGCGGCCTCGGTATGAGTTTCTATTACGCGCTTTTGCCAAACGAGACGGAGGTTGCTTACAAAGAGGCAGTAAGAGGTATGCTGGAATTGGCCCCCGCGGTTGCCGGTGCTCGAATTTTGGTGATGGACAAGCGCACCGCACAAGTGAATGCGTTTCGGAATGCGTACCCCAATGCGAACATCATATTTTGCCGGATACACATTATGCGGGACATGCGGCGGCGTTGTGCACACCTTCCGTTCTGTAGCACGGAAGATAAGAGGGCTCTGTTCAACATGCTGCGGTCGTTGTTGTACACATACGATTGCGCGCATTATCATCAGATTATGGAAGGCATATCCCTGCGCAGCGCTGGATGCTTCCAATACCTCCGTCGTACGTGGATCCTATGGCGGCTTAGCTGGGCAGCGCATTTGATGGGCCACGTGGTTTTATCCGGATGTGACAG